TAGCTCAGTGTGAAGGCCCTAGATTCAATCCTCAGTACTACAAAGAAAAAAATCTCAAAGAAAAAGAAGTATAGTCATATAGTATGCTATCCTGTTAAGGACTGGGATTGCTGTGGTAGGAGAGAGGAAGAAAAGAGAATAAATGAAGCATAACGAATGAGACAGATCCTTTTATTTTAAAACACATAATTGAAGTTTAATACAAATCTGTATTGAATTTGACAAAGTGCTGAGTGTATAACAAATACTTTCTAATAGTTTAGAGGTTTCTTAAAATGGAACACACCTTTATCTCACCACTTCAACCAGATTATTGAATGAAATAAAAACTAAGGGGGGAGGGGGCCTGGGCCTAGCTCAGTCCTTTAAGTGGCTGCTTCCACAAAGCTGTCAGCCTCAGGTGGCTGGAGTTCGAACCTCACAACTCTCCCGCTGGCCAAACGTGCCCTGAAGGCATGCGAGGAACAAAAAAAAAAAAACTAAGGGGGGAGGGAGAAAGGAGAAGGGATATATAAATGATTAAGAGGTGTTATGCATATGTATCAACTCCCTGCAATCAATATAATCAGGTACTAAAAAAAATAACTGAAAAGACTGAGGCAGGAAGATCACCACAAATTTAAAATTGGTCTGGAGTACACAGGAAGTTCAAAGCCAGCCTAAAAAGAGTGAGATGGGGTTACAAGCAAAGAAACAAAAAAGGTATTCTGATTTTCTCACTCTAGAGTCCCAACATACTTATCAGTAAATAGAGTTTCAATCAGGTTCTATCAAAGCACTTAAAGTTATGATCAATACCAAGAAAAAAACTGCCAAGTGTGGTGGCTCATGCCTGTATTCATTCCCAGAGATAAGAAGATTGCCACAAGTTTGAGGCCAGCCTGTAATAAATAAGGCAAGTTTGAGGCCAACCTGTAATGTAGAGTGAGTGAGACCCTGTCTCGAAAAGGAAAAAAGTTTCTCTTAAATAAGTGAACTTATTAAAAGCCTTAAATAACTACTGCTTTGTTCGACAGTAATATTAAAATATTTCAACTTATTTCACTGGAAATTCAGTGTCTTGCATCCTAAGCCATTCTACTTTGTCATTCAAGTGACTGACTCCTAAAGGGAAAAATCCCAAAAAAGCAAAGAAATTGAGAAGCTGCCTCAAGGTGACCAAGGAACAGGACTGAAAGCAAAGCCAGAGAAGACTTTTACAATGTGTAGAAAAGACAGAGAAAACTACACCTTTGCCTATCATACATCCATACCCCCAAAAGCTAAGAAACATGACTAGAGATTATTTAATACCCAAAAGCAGGGGGACAGGCCTGATTCCAACACAGATTGGCTGTAACAGACTGCTGCCAATCATTTCACGGTGAAAAGGTTCAGTTAGAAATCCTATTAAAGGGGCTGGTGAGATGGCTCAGTGGTCTAAAGCACCTACTTAGAACAAGCTTAACAAAGCACAGGGACCGCGGTTCAATCCCCCAGCACCACATGCCAGCCAGCCCCGCCCCCTGGTGGGCTGAGCTGGCCACACACACACACACACACACACACACAAATAAATAAAAAAAAAGAAATCCTATTAAAAACTAAGTTAAAGAAGTTGAATCATATTAGGAGAAACTTAAAAGAATGTCTCCCAGTACCTCTACCTTTAAACAATTATGCCAAACACAGAAAAGTCTTAATTAAAAATAATTATACTAAATGTTCAAGGACTGATACTTGATAAGGGAAAAGAGAGGTTTGGAAAGCTTTGTGTTAACTGCAGCTGTAGTGGATTACAATAAAAACCTTGTTTCAAGACAAATGCAGTGAAGTAAAAAACAGTAACCATAAATTTGCCTTTTCCAAAGAAAGAACCAAAAAAAGGCAATACAGTAAGGGACAAAATACAACTGAACACATTTCTCATATAAAACTAAAAAACATAAATTTTGCTTTAAGAATTTTTATGCATTTTTATATGTCAGAATTAAATGTAAAAGAGTGGGTTTATATCTCAGTGGTAGTAAGACCCTATTTCAATTTCCTGGCACCAATTAATAAAGAAAATAAGATAAACCCTTTTGAGTGCTAGATTAAGAAATCTAATACATACAACAATGAAGATTGAGATATTTTATAGACTTTAGTTAAAAACCTTTATCTTAAATCAGTATACACTATAGGAAATCCTTCCATTTCTAACAATTTCAAACTGAGATTTTGCCACAGTTCCTAATTACTGAGGCAAAAATAAAAATATTACAATTTGCAACCCATTATTTTCTTTGTTTTTGGGGTTTTTAAAAAAAAAATTGCACTGGAGTGAGGTTATTCTCACTAGTAATCATTTGCCTTAACTATCAGTTGTTTCTTATATTTTGGGGGAATTAAACTTTATCCAGTGAAATTAGATTTTGCTAGGAAAGTGAGCACACAAATTCCATGTAATGCAACTGGTATTCCTAGTATCTATAAAATTTATATTTGACCCTGAAAGAATGAGCCTCAACACCGACACAGCAATCCTTTTTGAATATGTCCTCAATTATTCGTACTTCTACTTAGTAATTCCAAACAATATATATCTAAAAAGTATAGTGTATGTTGACCATAAAAGATGAACCAGTTGGTAAAGATACTGTGCTTACATAATATTAAAAAAGTGCTTTTACGTATTCAGTGACTACCAAGTATGAATATTACTTCTTGTATTAATCCCAGTTTCTAAAAAGTTGACCCAATTTAAGGCCTGAAACTTAAGTTTCTACCTTTAGAAGGGTACAAAACCAGAGTTAAGTAATTGGGTAGTCCTAAAAATACACATCACAACTACATGACTAAGATACTCATTTAAAACTTGTGCCAAGATAACCCCTCCCTTCAAAACAAACTAAAATTGACTCACTGGCCTATTTTATTTAATTTTGGAAATTAAGAAAAAATGGATGTCTAAGCACTCATTTCCTCTACAATTTAAAATATTCAAATCTTCAACATGGGATTCCTTGCTTAAAAACGTTAAGTCAAAACAAAGAAGGGGCCTCAGTATCTCCAAGTTTGCTAGTTACTCTGAAGTTTAAGAAACAAGAAAGAAACCAGAATTTTATAGTTATTTTATAACCCCTTTCTAAAATCATACAAAACAATACAAACAGTGTCGCTGCCTAAGAAACAATCCTAACCAGGGAAACCATCTCACTTCGGATAACACTTCATCTGGGTGATGACCCTATTCGCAGCAGCTGACCACCTGAGCAAAAAGCTTTCAATTTTGTCTCCCTGAAGTGGGAAACTATCAATCTCTCTGTAAGATACGTTCCACCCGCTGTGGATGTTTCTACATATAGAAAAAAAATGCTTGTAAACTTGGTGGCGGGGTGAGGACAAAGGGCATTTTGAAAGCACATACTGAGGTAAATGGAAAAATAGGACAGAAAGAGAGCTAAATTAAAGTTTCCTCAATTGGTTAATAGACAACATAAGCACCCCCTCCCCTTTTATTTATTTTAACCACCGCCACGGTCTTTTCATTACCGCCCACTGAAATGCAAAGTTCTAACTACCACTACCCCAAAAGCCCAAAGAATCCTCAAAATGTCAGGCCACTGGCAGCCTATGGAATGACAAACTAGTTCCCCTCCCCCACCCCACCCCCCAAAAAAGTCCAATCCAATAAGTGCAGGTCACTCTGCCCTCTGGGGCAGTTCCAGCTTGCGTAGAGAAGGCTCAGAAGTGAGGCGACCGAGGAAACAGACCACCTCTCCCACACACCCTCAGCTGGGGAAACAAAACAAAGACGGCCCTTCCTCTCCCGCAGCCACTAGCCCAGCCAAAGAGGCTTTCCTATTTCCCGGTGTAGTCTGGCCTCCCGCCCCCGCCCCATGACAAAGAAAAGCGACTTGGTGAGCAAGTCCTTCCTGACTCCACGGATGGGGGAGGGGGCTGCGAGGTGAGGAGCCCCCTCCACGAACTCGCGCTCACACTCTTGGCTCGAAAAACAGCCCCCATGCGACCGGGAGCCGAGGCCTCGGCGGGGGACGCCGAGTTCGGGAGGGGATGAGGGTACCTTGAAGTAGCCGCCTTCGTAGAGGGTGTTGGGGGGTCCGAAGATGGCCACCTCCCAGTTGTAGAGGTCGGACTCATCCACCAGGGTGATCCGGAAGCCCTCCACCGGTTCCTCCTGCAGGGATTTCAGTTCCAGCATCAGGGCCTTCTGCGAGCTGGTCATCTGCTGCTGGGCCATCGCGGCGGCAGCGGCCGTGCCGGGCCGGGGCCCCAGTCCTCGCGAACCCGCGGGGCCGGAGCAGGCCCCTCCCTCCGCTCCGCTCCGCTCGCGCCGGGCCGGGCCGCCCCGGGCCCCTGCCTTCACACCCCGGCGGGCCGGACCAGGCCCCAGACGGCCCGTGGGCCCGCCCGGGTCCTCCTCACACGCGACTCGGGCCGGGCTGGGCCCTGCTTCTCACACTCGGGCCGGGCGGGGGAGGGGCTGAGGGAGTTCGGGGAATTCGCTCCCGGCCCGGGACCTCCCCCCAGAGGGCCTCTAGTCCGATAGCGAGAAGAGGTGGAAGCGGAGGTAGGCGGCGGAGGGCTGGCGGCGGTAAGAGGGGGGCCGGGCTCGCCCGGGAGCGCTGCGTTAGCTCGCCCTCTCGTTCTCCTCGGGGCCGCCGGGCCGGAGGGCACGCGGGGTCGAGGGGGGGGCTACACGGGGGTCTCTCGGCGGCGGCTGCGCTGGGGGAGGGGCGGAGAGGGGAGCGAGAGCGCCTCTCGCCGCGGGAGCGACGGAGCCGAGAGGGAGGGAGGATCGGAGCGGGGAGGGAGGGAGAGTGGAAGGAGGGGCGCGTCGTGGGGGGGTGGCCTCGGCGGCTGGCGGCCCGACGCGCGTGCGCACGCCCCTCCTTCCCCCTGCCCGCTTCGCCCCGCCCTTCTCCTCCTCCCCCTTCCCCACCTCCTTCCCCGCCCGCGGGCGAGGTGGCGGTGCTTTGTGACGCCGACGCCTGTCCTCCGCCCTTAAAGCGGCTGTAGTGACCGAGGGCGGGCTGCTGGAGATCGCTTGGGCACCCCCGGCTAAAGGAAGTGTTTTGATGCCGCGACTTGAGAGGCGTGCCCCGGAAGGGAACTCGGGTCCTAAAGCTCATCCCATATATTTGTGTACACGGGCCCCCGCAGCCATCCACAGGCAAACTCTAGTCGTCTACAGACCCCTCCTTGTGACGCCCAGTCTGCTGTCCACGAAGTGGGTGCTTGATTAGGAGGAGCTTGAAAGCAAGTGTCTGTAACTTCAGCATTTAGACTGAAGCTGAAGGGTAGCTGCAAGCTCGAGGCGAGCCTAGGTTACAAGAGACTCTTGTTCCCAATGTGGAGAAGGGGGTTGTGAATCTTTTCTTTTCTTTTTTTTTTTTTTTTTTTTTTTGCGGAACCGGGGATTGAACTCAAGCCCTTGCACTTGCCAAGAAAGCACTTATTCTACTGAGCCATCTCCCCGCCCCCAAGAATGTGAATCTTAACGGTGGAAACAGACCTTCCCTACATCTCCGCGGCAGACCATAGTGTCCGCGGCAGACATAGTATGCCGCTGGACAAGTCACCCACCTTTGAAGGGGCATTTTCCCAAACGCGAAACTGAAAAAGGCAGATAAGCCAGCCCTTACTTCCACCTTAACTACAAAGAAGAAATTAGGAGGAAAGAGTAAAAATCTAATTACCAACGAGTTGTGATGGCACACACCTGTAATCCCAGCACTCTGGTCTCCCAAATTCGAGCTCATATTGGGCTGGGGAGATAGGTCGGCGGTCTAAGCGCCTGCCTGGATCAGGTTCTTGATCCCCGATAATGCATGCTGTACCGCCATGCCAGCCACCAAAACCACACGCCGGTGGTGCATGCCTGTAAGCCCAATGCTGGGAAGGCTGAGACAGGAGGATCACTGCAAGTCCTTCCCTGCATAGTGAGACCCTGAGCCAAATGAAGAAAAGGTTTAAAAAAAAAAAAAATTTAGAGGGGTGGGGGGGGCTGAGGAGGTAGCTCCACATGAAGACCAAACAAGAAGTACCACACACAAAAAAGAAAATAATTACAGACTGAGCCTAGATTCCTGACTTTTGTCAGCATGATTTGGGGTGAGTGCCTTAACTACATCTCAGTTTACCTTTTTGTAATACAAGGTACAGGGGTTGGACTTCGATCTTCTATACCTCAAAGTATAAACTTCTAAACCACAAAGTAAGCGACTTTTGAGATAACCCTGACTAAAATGAGATATGGAGACTATCTTTCAGGAAAGCATGTCCAATAACTGCCTAAACTCTAATGAACTTTATCCTAGTAAAGCCAAGATATTATGAACAGTACATACAATTTTGGCATGAAAAAGATCTTGTTTTCAATCCTGGCAACTCAATACATTTACTTCTTCCTGATTCATCAGCTTCTGCAAAAGCAGGTCAATTATACCTAACACAAGCAATTGTAATGAGTAAATGAGATCATTTAGGAGAATGACTGATACATAATAAATAACCCATAAATGGAAATTTTAAGGAAATAGACAGGCATGATGGTACATACTTGTAATTCCCACACTCTGGGAGGCTGAGGAAAAAGGACCCCAAACCTGAGCCTAACCAGGGCAGATTTCTGATTTGGGAAGACACAACCTTGAAATTAAAAAATGGCTGTAAAGTTGTGTGAGGCTCTGCATTCAATCTCCACTACCACAAAGTTATTTAGTTCAGCCGCAATCTGGATACCAAGTTTTTGGTTTGCTGTTTTATTTTGTTTTATAGTCAGGGGTTCCCTAAATTGCCCAGGTTGGCCTCATGAGGCCTCCTGCCTCAGACTCAAAGAGTGCTGGTATTACATGTATGCACCAACAAGCTTGACAATACATTACTTTTAACTGATGTTCAAGTTTTATTCATATTTCCTTACTTTTTTTTTTGTTTTGTTTTTAGTTAATGTGTTTGGTGCAGGGTCTCACTACGCAGCTCAAACTCATAGTAATCCTCCTGTTTTCAGCCTCCCTAATGCTGGGATTACAGGTGTGCGCCACCACACTGGATCTCGGTGACCTGCTCAGCACACCAGGGGGCAGGGCCGGCTGGCATGTGGTGCTGGGGGACCATACAGCGGTCCCTGTGCTCTGCCAAGCTTTTCTAAGTAGGTGCTTTAGACCACTAAGCCATCCCACCAGCCCTACACTTCTTGTTTTTGAAGACCTTGATAATTGTGAGGAATACTGTTCAAATATTTTGTAGAAAGTCCATAAGTTGGGATTTTTTTCTCTCATGAGACTGGAGTTATACACATGTTCAAACTCCCCACAATGAATGTAATTATTATATACTGGAAACATGTACTAACTTTTTAAAAAGACTGAGGTTATAGAGTTGTCTTTTTTTTTTTTT